ATTCCATATCTCATTTTAGATTTGTATCTCTAAAGAGAAGATCCTAGCTGAGACTGCTTTTGGAAAAGAAGAGTTGTGAAGAAAGCATGCAGACAATTATACAGGCACAGAGCACTGGGTCTATATTTTATTTTTAATTAAAAAATTTGTTTTTGAATTATGTGATAGTTTACATGGGAGAACATTAGTTTTAAATTCATTCTATCATATATTTCATTGCCATGGTTACAATCCCATCCATGCATCATCAACCAACCAAAGGGTATACACTACAAGCCTGCCCCCAACACTTCCCTGGGTCTTCAGCACACAGTCCCTCTCCCTTTCTGGATCTAAAGTCCCCAGCTGCTCCCTTGCTCCAAGTCATTGTCTCTGCCTTCATCTCAGGCATCACTGTGTCTCTGGGTAGGGTCCCACTCTCCGCTCTTCGTTGATTGTCCTAGGGACCTCCGCTCCTAGACTGGAAAGTTAACCACTCCCCTCCTTGCTATAAAACGTCTACCTTTACATTTCAAACCCTCACAATCAGCGCTGATAACAATTATTCACTATTGTATCACAAGAGACCCGTCTGCTGGGTCTATATTTTGGATTTAAATAGCTCACAAGTAAAACACTCAAATTTGATGACTATAAACTTGATGACCATGCATCCCCTTCAGCAATATTTCTCAGCTGTGACAAACCCATTCTCAGAAGTCTTCGCATTGGTTTCTATACTACTCACTCGTTTCTATATACACACATTTTAGGAATACTAGGCTTAAGGATGTTAGAATAGTAAACATATTTTAAAAGACTTTTTAATGTGAATTGGTTAAAGTTTTGTAGACAAGATTATAAATTTTACATTAAAAAATATACTTTATTTCATCTCAATGATTGCAACTCCCTCCATACAAGAATAGTTACCCCTCATTCTCCCTGTGTTTACTATATTAATTCCATCTACCTTTCCATTCCTTCTCATCTTTTTCCATAGTAAATGATACCCCCTTGATTTAGAACATTTGACAATTCCATGGTGAGCATACCTTACTAGTGTTACCTCCCCCACCCTTTACATGCTATCTATCACTTGTCTGAAAATTGGACACAAGGATGCGTTTCTTTCCCATTCTCAAGGGTGATTGAGGGCCATAGTCTTGGGTTTCTCCAGTCTCTTTGACAAGTGAACCTAGTCTTTTTGTTTGTTTTAATAATTTTGAGTTTTGTTCCATATTTTCTATCACTCTTTCCAGGATGCTCTAAATTTTAAGAGCAGTTGATAGTGGCAGTTGGGCACCATGTAGTTCTTCTGGTCCTAGAGTCATGGAGACTGATGTTCATATGTTCCAGTATTCTGTTGTACCAATTGACTGCAAGCATCTTCAATTATCATCACTTTTCTTTCTTCTGCCCATGAAGACAACAGTAGCTGCCACTTAGACAGCCTTTGATGAACTTTCAAGATCTCAGTTGCTACTTACCCAAGTAGGATGTAGAACATTGACTTTGTGGACTGTGTCATAACAGTTGACTATGGTGTCTTCTGAGACTATGGTCCTGGGCCTCTAAGCTCAGCAACTCATTGCCTTAATATATTTGATAATATTTAGAAAGTTTTCATCATTTTGCCCTTTTTATGCCACCACATCCATAGTTGTTTTTGCAGGAAAGGTGACTACTCATACACAAATATCCTCTTTCAAACCATATATTTGTGGGATATATAAATATATGTTTTTGTTAGGTGCGATCGAGTCTGTACCGACCCATATGGAACTTATTCACAGCAGAACGAAACACTGCCTGATCCTGGGCTAACCTCACTACTTTTGCAACACTTCATTGATGGCCTTTATAATTCTGGGATTCACACTTAGGTCTTTTTTTTTTTTTAAGGTTTTTATTGTGGATTGAGTGAAAGTTACAAGGCATATCATCAATTTTACATT